TTTACGAAATTCAAGCATTAATATTTGATTTTTAAGTTGTACGTTTATAACAAAAGCGCAACTTTAGTTTGAGTAATATGAATACAATTTTTTCTTTGGTCGACGTAATATGAATACAATTAAAATGGACATAAATACAATTTTTTATAAAGTAATTGACATCGGTTAAACATTATGTTAAAATACTTAAATGTTATATTTTAGTTGGATTTGAATTAACAACATATATATTTGTGAGTTCATATTAAAATCAATATAAATATGTAGAGATTTCCAACATGGCGTATAGAATTAATTGGAATGTTTTGATTGGTTAATTTAATTGATGTGTTCCTTAAAAAAAATTTTGAATGACACATATGATTTTTTCACTTAGTGTCTCCTTAATTAATATATAGAGGATGTGTAAATTTTTTTTTTTATAAACCGTAGGAGTTACAAACCTTTGACTCATAATTTTCTCGGTACCCGGAATCAGCCTTTAGATATTCCGAATTAAAGAATAATATTCCATACCAAAAGGCATTTGAATCCGAAATACAAAAGAACCAACCTCTTTGTGTTACCATTAGACCACCACACATTTGATTTTATATGTAATTGATAGCTAGATTATATGTTTTCTCACCGAAAGCTCCAGTCTTTTTCATTTTTCATTCTCTTTGGCGCAAAGATTTAACCAAAAGAGATATGTTAAGCGAATCTCTTCGATTGTAAATTGACAGCCTCTTTTTTCTTTCCAACAGTATATATATAGTGTCATGCTAATTTAAGAAATTTATTGACTGGTAAACAGTTTTTTTTTCTCCAAATCAACAAATTTATTGACTAGTAAACAATTATGCAAACAAATTATCTAAATGCACAGAACATCCAGCGCCTACGTACGTATATTATAGTATATGCATAGGTTTTGTAGTCTCATTATTAATTCAAAAATTAAGGCGGTCAAGGCCATGCAGAAATCAACATATGTCACTCGCAATATATGTGAAATAAATCGTGTTTTATATGGTCTTAAAAAAAGAATTTAGAAAAAGAGAGAGAGATGTTTACGATTGAACGCACAAAAATATATGTGAATTGTGTAATTTACGATTGAACGCACAAAAGGTGAAATTGATAAAAATGTTTCGAATCGTATTCGTGAATATTTAATCAACTGTTATATGACGATCGAAACAACTGCAGCATTACATTAGAAATAAATTAAAATGATTAAAAGTCATTGTAATGTCTGCAACTTGTGTAGTCAAACAGAATATAAAGAAGAAAGAAAATTACTGAAATAGCAGTCTTTTTAGCCTTTTTCCGTTGGGCATCTCATATTTATCTTTTCATTTTATAGTATATATTTTCTTATTAAACCTTTTTTTTTTTTTTGGAAAACCAGGGGTAATCCAGCTTTTACCACCCGATTAATCTTTCAGGTTGAGTATAGCCGTCGAGTAACCCATTTACCAAGTTTTCTAATGGACCTAAAACATGATTCATTTC